ACTAGGGATATTGTAGCTAATGTTAGATGGATCTTAGCTGAAAGCAGGGAGCACCAGAAGAATGTCTATCTGTGCTTCACTGACTAGGCAAAGGCTTTTGACTGTGTGGATCACAAGCTGTGACTGACTCTGAGAGGAATGGGAATCCCAGAACATTTGATTGTGCTAATGCAAAACCTATACTTGGACCAGGAGGCAGTTGTCAGAACAGAGCAAGGAGACACTAAATGGTTCAAAATCAAGAAGGGGGACCCTTCAGGGACGTATTCTGTCTCCATACCTTTTCAATCTGTATGCAGAACAGATTTATATTTCAATTAAAGAGGTGTAAACTTAGGATCAAAGAAAGAGAAAATCGCATAAGTATTTGGCAAACAAAAGGTTAAAAACAAAAGGTAAAAACAGTGTGATTAAAGCTTTGAGGTGCCTGTGCAGGTGTTACAGACATGAACAAGTTAAAGAGCATTCTGTGAAGAGAATCAGATTACGTAAAAATACCAACGTGGCTGTACAGTTCTCCCGGGGGGGGAAAAAAGTAATTTGCTCTTTTTTAAAAAAATTTTTTTTTTTATTGTATTATTTTTACATGTACCATCAAATCAGATCTGACTGGTACAGGAGGAGATTGCCCCCTCCTTCTCCAGCAGAGCATCTGGTGGATTTGAACCACATACCTCTGGGAGTAATTTGCTCTTTTATATGAGTTAAAAATACAAAAAATGGGGAGCTCTGGTGGCCTAGTGGCAAGAAGCGGCACTGCAATCCCAGAGGTTCAAATCCACCAGATGCTCTGCGGGAGAAGGAGGGGCAATCTCTTCCTGTACCAGCCAGATCTGATTTGATGGTACAAACACACACAAAATAATAACATTTTAAAAAATTTAATTAAAAAAAGTTTATTTTCCTCTTCTACTATGATTGTCAGTTTTTGTTGTGTGTTGTAGAGTACAATTCAGAGATCCTATGAACCCTGTTCCACCCTGTGTGTCCTCATCTCTGATACACTTGAGCCCATTGCTGCAGTCACTGCGTCAATCCACCGATGGTTGTGGGTCTTCCTCTCCTGCCAACCGTCCGCCTTTCCAAGCATGCGTCCTTTCCTAAGGACTGGTCTCTCCCAGTAACATACCTAAAGGATGTGAGCCTTTATTATCTTTGCCTCCAAGGAACACTGGCTGCACCTTTTCCAAGACATGGCTGGTGTGTTGTTGGTTTGTTTGTTTTTAAGGCTACGGATATTCATGTATTCATGGGATACTCTTCTCCAACACCACAGCTCAAAGGCATCAATTATCAATTCTTCTGTCCACTGTGATTGTTTGCATATATGTACCGAAAGCCTAACACCTTAGAGTCATCAATAAGATTCTGGTATTTAACAGGGTATATAAATATAATGTACTACCAAGCATGGTTTTGAAAATAAGATTATCCTCTATTTCAGGGATAAATAATGTACATGACATTGAAACAGACAAGGGAGAGAACTGTATAAAAAGAATATATGAAATAAACTAGTAACAATTTTTTTAAAAAGGAATATATGATTAGGTATTATTGGCATGACAAGAGTCTAGAATAAAAGCTGCACAGTAAAGTGAACTGGGGGGAGGGGAGACTGTATAATAATGAAAGAATTTTTTTTCCAAAGAAAAAAGCAAACTGGGGGGTGGGGGACAGTGAGAAAACTGTGCAACAATGAATGAATGGAAATCCAAGTTCTCTATAAACTTTCATTAAAATCTCAATAAAAAAAGATTATCCTCTATTTCAAAAGCATCAAACAACTGAAAATCACATTGCCAAACATCAAAATCATTAGCAAATCCATACATGAAACTTCAGACAATATCAAGCATTATTGTTTTAACCAAGCAAACTTCAAACATGCACTTAGAATAGTGATTCTCGTATGCTTAAACTGAGTGTAAAAATTCAACATTTTGATGGAAATTGCTGTTCCGCCAGAGTTTACCAGTCTGTTCTTAAATTTAAATAATCTGGAGAATTTCAATTACAAGTCAAATGAAGACTAAAAAGTAAAAACCAAAAACAAACCACACCCAAAAGAAAAACCAAAAAAATCCAATGAATCTTAACGTTTTCCAGAGACCTACATTTAAATAATTCCCAAACACATAAAGTTTATCATGTACTTATAGTCTGGAAGAAATATTTCCCTGAGCACATTTCTGTCCAGTTAGAAAAACAAAACCATGATCTACAGAATACAATTTTATTGTGATTTTCCTTGAACTTGTACAAATTTCCACCCATCAGATGTATTTGCAAATCTCGCAGAGATATTTATAAATTAGGAATTATCACTGTTAAGGGGCTACTTGAACGGGAAAGGGACCCTGGTTGGGGTCTAGAGCCCTGAGGGACTGTAGAGTTGGTGTCAGTGAGTGATTTACTTTTCTTTTTTTAATTTTTATTTATTTATTTATTTTTTACTTTACTTTTCTAAAACTACTAACAGGTATTTTAACAAATTAGGAATGGCACCAGCTTCACAGAAGGAAGAGAGGTAATAACAAGTAGTCCCAGATCAACTCACTGACAGATTAAGATAAAAGACAGATTAACATTGTGCTTTCCAGGGAGTGATGCAGGGATAAAACAAATCCTCTATCCAACGAAAGAAGAAATCACCTCACCTTAAAGTTCATAAATGTAATCTGAGATCTGTCATTCCTTAAGGTGCATGTCCAATGACAGCATCAGCAAGGACGTTAGCAGAAAAAATGAGGTTCCTGATGCTCTGGTGAGATTTACAGGCCAAGAGACATCCTACAAACAGTGAACGTGCACAGTAATACCCTCACAGAGGAATTCCCTACGTTTGAAAGATCTTAAAAGAATTTAGGCCTCTTCTCTTTCAAATAAATAAATCAATCAAGGACAGAAAACAGTATATATTTTAAATACACAAATCTAACATGAATTCTACATCCTCCAACACTGTACTAAAAAGGAATTTTAAAAGTTGCATATTTATAATTAGGATTTTCATAAGACGTAACTAGGGAATTCTTAGCATTGTAAGTCATGTGGTTTATAAGAATAATAACATAAAGCACTTCTGCTAAGCTTAAAAGAAGTGACCAATTTCACAAGGCTAGTGGTTCGCCTCCCATCTTCAGTTCTGTCATCAGGTGCTTTATGCAGGACGTCCCTGGGCAAAACGAGATTTAGACCTAGAGGTTTTAAAGAGGAAAAAAGGTCAGAATTATTTCTAAAAGAACAGGCAAGCACACTTATAGTTATTGCTGCTTTGTTCGCAATAGCAAAAGAGTCCAAGTGCCCATCAACAAACAAATGGATAGAGAAGCTGTGGTATATTCACACAATGGAATACTATGCTGCATTGAAAAACAAAGAACTCATGAAATATTATACAAACTAGGTGACCCTGGAGGACATCATGCTGAGTGAATAAAAAGAACACAGTCACCAAAGGTCAAATACTGCATGGTGCCACTGTTGTGAAACAGGACTGACATTGGGGGTGGGGAGAGACTGAGAAAGATGGGATAAACTATGTAAACTGTATTGAAACAGACAGAGAGAACTGTTTACAAGAGATATATGATTAGGTATTATTGTCATGACAGGAATTCAGAACGAAGGCTGCACAGTGGAGTGGATTTGGTGGGAAGTATTGTAAAACAATGAAAGAATTTTTCTTTTACTTTTCAAAGAGAAGAGTGAACTGTGGGGGAGGTTGGGCAGGGAGAAAAGTGCAACAATGAATAAATGGAAATTCAAAGTCTGTAAACTTTCATTAAAATGAATAATAATAAAAAATATAAAAAAGAACAGGTAAATTCTGCTGCTTCATATCACGTTGGCTGGGCAGCATCAAAGTTTAATGAAATTATATGTAGTTTGATAGCTAAAACACTTAGATATACTGTGGAATTAAGATATTTTCAAATTTTTGAGAAACATGGTATTATATATTCTATATATGTATATATATAAAATTAGAATATATATATATTCTATCATACATGAATGTGAAGCATGGTCCCATAATCAAACAACCTAAATGCTTTTAGTTTTGAAAAAAAGACATTTTGTTTGTGTTTTTTTTTTAAATTTTTATTATTTTGTGTGTCTGTGTACCGTCAAATCAAATCTGACTGGTACAGGAGGAGATTGTCCCTCCTTTCCTGGCAGAGTATCTGGTGGATTCGAACCGTGTGCCTCTGGGGTTGCAGTGCAGCTTCTTGCCATTAGACCACCAGAGCTCCCCCCTAAATGCTTTTTCAAAGAAAATCTTGCAGGCTAAGATGAGGTATAAAGACAGGACCATCAGATCCTTTTCTGGTTCCTAGCAAGCTGATTGGGTGTTCATATTTTTGCATGGCATGTGCTATCTTTTAAACTGTGTTACAACATGGGCACATTACCTGTTGGACATGGAAACAAAAAAGGATTATCGGAAATAAAGCCTCTACAACCAAGCCCACTCCATAAGCAAGACCAAAGAAGGGCTCGACTAGAACAAGTGAGAAGAGCATTAGGGGAAAGTGCGTGTGTGTGTGTGTGTGTGTGTAGGGCTATACCCTGTGACAGGGAGGGAAAACAGCAGGCGGGAAAATTCCTTTGAGGGCGGGGATTTGGCAGGACCTCGAGTGTACTAGATGGAGGATGGGCCCCATGAGTGTGATTGAACAAATTCATCTTAATAAACACTAGCAAAAGCATCACAGCAGCTCAAGTTTGAACCATCACAAACGTGTGAAAAAAACATGACCTGCTGAATTACAGAACAGTCACTAAAACATCTGGATTTAAAACAAGAATGTTCAAATCTTAATAAGGTATTCATCTTAACAGAAAATTGTGTTGCAAAATGATACTATCCTTGACAGACTTTGTCAAGAGAAATAAAATAACAAAGAATGAGAAAGAGTCCATGATTTACATACAATCATGATACCACAGAATCAGCATAGAAAACTAAAAAAAAAGTCTTAAAAACACTTTGCTTTCATGACAATGCTTTTGACTTTTTAAACTTGTGTAAATTAAGTTCAAATCCACCAGATGCTCTGCTGGAAAAGGAGGGACAATCTCCTCCTGTACCAGTCAGATCTGATTTGACGGTACACGCACACAAAATAATAATAAAGAAAAAACAAGTTAGACTTGGGTGAACTCAGACTTACTTTTAACAGAAGTAGGTTTTACACTTTAACTTGGTCTGAACCCTATCAAAGTTCCAAGATTCATATTTTGGACGTTCTCATCCTTGAAAGAAGAACTGATGCCTATGAGTTGTGGTGTTGGAGAAGAACACCAAACATCCCACTGAAGGCCAAAAAGGTGCAGCCAAAGTGCTCTTTGGAGGCAAGAAGGATGAGGCTTCGCCTCACATACTTTGGACATGTTGCTAGGAGGGGACATTCCTTGAAGAGGGACATGATGCTGGGAAGGGTGGAGGGTCAGTGAAGGAGAGGAAGACCCTCGACCAGGCAGACTGACAGTGTGTCAGGAAGTGTGAGATTAACGCAGGACAGGACAGGGCTCAGATCTTTTGTTCACAGGGTCACTATGAGTCCTACTGGACTTGACAACACCTAACATCAACAAACAATAGCAACAACAACATCTTTGAAATATAGAAACAAACAACACAAGCTCAAATGGGATGCTTTCAAGCATTCATCTGATTTAATGGTACGGGAGGGGGACACGTCACTTGAAAACGGGAACTTGAACTCGCCCGAGCTGGTTTACCTTGTGTTCTTCTCGGTGCTGTTCTGTCGAGCACTGGCTGGCACTGAGGCTTTGATCTGGGCTTCCAGTCTGGTGTAGATGCCCCCTGCAAACTGCAGAGCAAGGAGCAATACTGTTACGCTGTTGCTGTCTGGAGCCAACAGAAGCTCTGCTTATGCGATATAGGCATTACTTTTTAAATGTAGACGTATTTTCCCTCCCGATTTTTATTATTAAAGTCCACGAAGGTATAATTTACAGTAAAACTCCCCTGTTATTGTAGGTTCAAGTTTTGACAAATGCATTAATTTGTATAGCTACTGTGACAAGACTCAGAATAACTCTATTGTTCAAAAAACCCCTCCTTGTGATCTTTATAATTCAACCTATCAGGCACCACCAACCAATCCCTGACGACCTCTTACGTTAATGCTACTATTGGAGTGTTATGTAAATGGAATCACACATTATGCAGCCTTTGTGGTGTGGCTTCCATTACCTAACAAAATGCACAGGCAATTCATCCACGCTGACGCATGCAGCAGTAATTCCTTCTCTCTCTTTATTTACACGTACCACAGTTTGTTTATCCATTAATCAAGAAACAGACATTTGGGCTAGTTCTCATTTATAGTAACTGTCAATAAAGCCACTATAAACAGAGGGCACTGGTTTGTATACTGAGTTTAATTTTATAAGAAACTGCCCAATTGTCCTCCAAAGTGGTCATTTTGCCCTCTTACCAGCTACCTAGGAGAGTGGCTCCATATTTTCACAGCACTTGGCACTGTTAACTCTTTACTGTTGTTAAGTGCTGTCAAGGAGGAACCAACTCATAGCTGATCCTCCAGCGGGTTTTCAGAGGCTGTAAATGACATGGAAGGAGACACCTATCCTTCTCCCGTGGAGCAGCTGTTGGAGTCGAACCATCTACATTCGGATAAGCAGCACATTTCCTAACCCACCGCGTCATCATTCGTGTTGGTTTGTAAGTGGTACTTCATTGGAGTTTTAATTTACATTTTCCTTGATGACTTATGACTTTCAATCTTTTTATGTGCTTACTGGCCATCTGTGTATGTCCTTGCTGAGGGGAACTTCTGCCCATTTTTACAACTGGGTTATTTATTCATTTTGATCACTCTTACCAGATCCTGGATATAAATTCCCTATCAAGTAAGTGTTTTATGTGTATTTCTCCTAGTTTGTTTTCTAGCTTGTTTTTCTTGTGTGTCCTCCAAAAAGAATTCTTCAGTGTGAAAAAAACGTAAATCTGTCAAATGTTTGTCTTTTATTGATGTTTTAGTGCCTTACCTAGGAATAGGAAACTGCGTAACACAAGATTAGCCAAGATTTTCTTCTATGTTTTGTTCAAAAGTTTTCTAGGGGAAGTAAACTTTTAAATGGAAAGACTAAGGGCCAAGAGTTATTACAAGTATATATTACCAACACCAATGCTAATTAAAAATATTACCAATATTGCTAAAATTCTAGCAAAAACATAGGTTTCCCCACTCGTCATTTTCAGAAAGCACTGAGAATAAAAATAACAACTAAACAGCACGTTGGAGCTTTGATCCAAATTGACCACTTACACAAAGCCAGCCCTTTGGATGGCCAGTATGGTTAACAATGGCAGGAAACCTACTCTTGGTATCACAGTAAGCTTTCAGTGACAATGTACCTTGCTATATTTAAAGGATCTATAGGCCTTTATATACCATGGACTGCTAGGAAAACAAACAGATTTGTCCTGGAAAGGGTTAAACCGGGTGGCTCCTTGGAGGCAAGGATTCTGAGGCTCCG